TCCTTTCATACTATTGAAATTTGGTAGGGTTGAAAATATGTCTATTTTGGTGAGAAGAAAATAACCTGAAGAATAACTTATTGCCACTGTTTCCATAGTTTCATGAGAGAAAACAGAAGATAGGTGTGGACAAGAGATGTACCAGGGGCCATTGTAAAGAAGGGATTTTTTATTTTAAGTCAGTTGTCAGCACAGCCAAATATTTCTTGGGGGTGGAGAAGAAAAAAAGAGTGGATTATGTGGGTGTGTTTGTGTGTTTATTCAGATCTGTGCATCTTGCCTTCTGTGAGCTTTAAGTGAAACTGAGTTTTTAGGGCTTTGAAGAGCCTTCAGGACAGTACCTACTGAGGAAAAGCTGTAATGTAAAAAGATACTGGGTATAACTGAGTAGAGATTTTAGTAAATGGAAACAACAAATGCAGCGGAGATTTTTTTAAATACAGCTTACTTTTAGACCCTTGATATTGCATTGCCTTCAAAGGGAAGTCTTTAGCGGGAAAATATTTCTAGGAGTGGTAGACCTGTACTAGTGTTTGCTATCTGTGTTGCATGCATGAGTGTAAATCAAATGCTGACATTTCTACTTTATTGTTAAAGTTTGCTGTGTTCACAGCGAAATCAGTTGGTGTGGGGCAGTTATATACGATTTGCATTGGGATATAGGTTTTCTGTCTGTGAAAACAAACATGATAATGTGCCAGAAAAGGGAGAACAGCAAAAAACAGGAAGGGATCCTGAAACCAGATAATTAAATATTGTGGGAAGATACTGGGAAATAGCAACTTGAGAACTAGAGTCCTTAAGAGGTAAAATTTGCCAACGAAAAAAATATTTCCACAACTAGAGAATACCCAAGTCCTAAATTCCAGCCTCTTTTCTACTTCAGTATGTACAAAGCTATACATTTAATAGCAAAATACATATACATAAATTTAGTGATAGGAACATGAAACATTGTGATACCTCTTTAAAACAATGTTGAAATAATGAAGTGAAGCATTTTCACCTTCTCTAACCCTGACTAAAAGGTTAACTTAAAAGTGACTGACTTCTCATTTCTCTACCTCCAGGGTTCGGTCTTTGGGATTAGAATTCCCTGGATGGAAGATAAAGGCATTAACACAGCACACATACTGGTAGTGATGCATCCTTGTTCTTGCTGGAGCAGTGGAAGATGCAGAGAAAAGGATTACAAAGGCTGCCTTTGTAACTCTCCCAGTATAGAGCAGAGAGGTGGTTTTGAACAGGAACCCATCCTAGAGTTGAACTCTTAGTTCTCTAAATTGCCTCCTGGTTAGACTAAGTAAAGAAACCTAATTGGACTGAAATGTGCTTTTGTGAATGCTCTTACTGTGTCAGAATTTTTTCAGATATTGTGACTTGTTTTGCAGTTGCAATTGATCTTTACAGTCAGTGCAGCACATCAGGAAAGTGTACACCATGGTGTCAAGGCTGGTGAGCCAACGCTGTAGAGTTTATCTGTGCATGTCCATTTTACACATGTCATTTTCTGTGTTATTTGCAGGTGACAAACAGTTTAGTCAGAGCCACTTCTCATGGCTGGCTTCTAGAGAGCTTAAATCCCAAACAACAGCTGGATTTCTCAGCTCCCTGCCCAAGCCAAGTTTTCAGCTAGGAATAAAAAAAAAAAAGAAGAAATGCATGAAGGCAAATTCTCCTGTCTTTGAGCACCCAGAGGTTTGAAAGAATACTCGTGAACATAGTCTGCCTTACCACAGGTCTGCAGGTCAGCCCTCAGATACCCTTTTCCACTTTTGTGTCCACAAAAAGCTAATGCTGTAATTCAATTTTTACAACCTGTAAATTAGCAGTGATGAGTGACCAGCCTTAAAGGGACTATTGCACCCAAAAGATACCTGACCTGTTAGATTCTTCAACAGCACAATAAACTTAGCTGACTTCATGTAATCACAACACAGAAAATGTATCTATTCTCCTGTCTCAGGAGGTAGACACAAGCTGTCTGCCACACTGTCCTCCCTTCTCATTGCTTTGACGTTGCAGGATGTCCTTTGTCAACTCTTGCCTCAGATCTTAACTGTTCAGCTTTCTTTCTCCTGGTAGCTAGACTCACTTCCAGAAATCTTCAAATTCTGTTTCCATGAACCCATTCATTGCTGAATGTCTAAATCCAACCACAACATAAGTTGCTTTCATCATTTCAGTGACTGATAGTAATGGGAAGTGTCTGCATGTGTTCTGTCATTTTGGGTTTTCCCTTGATGCTTGCAGCCTGACTTGCAGTTTACAAAAATACCTAAGTCCAATTAGCCATGAGCTAAGTTAATACACTTGTTTGTGTCTGAAAATCAGGTTAGGATCAGTAGACTTCCTTTTTGCTTTTTTCTAGGCTAAGTTTTGGGGCATGTTTGCTCTGGGAGTGTTCCATGAGATACTGCACTTCCATCCCCACCCTTCTGTGCTTATAGCTTGGATAAGTTTAAACCAGGTCTGTGCAGCAACTGGTTATTCTGCTGTTAAAGACATATGTGAAATAGCTACATCACCAGAATTTTGCCTGACTGCTGTTTGTCACCATTCAGAATCAACTAAGGCTGATTTCCTCAACCACTATGTGGGAGCATTGCCTAGTTTTCGCACTGATTTGTTTGTTTTGGGGTTTTTGTTAGTTTTTTTTCCTAAAGTATGCTCTGGACATGTAGATTGCTTGACTTTCCCCTCCATTGTGAGTTTGCCATGGTTTTTCCAGCATTTGAAAACATTAAGTATAATTTAAAGTAAACTGCAGTGGAGTTATAGCAACTTGAGAGCCTGATGTGATTTTCCCACCACTGAAAGAAGCACAGAGGTGTCCACTTTGTCCTCTGCATCTGAAATACCAGACTTGCTGAACCTGCACTGACTGTCTATGCCCTGGAGTCTACCTTGCACAGTAGTATCTGCTGGTTCTTGTAAATCACACTGCAAAATATCTACAAGAGCTTTGTGGCTTTGAAATATGTAATAAAATAACTGTTCTTACCCCCAGTGCAAGTGCTCCACAGAAAGAGTGGAGCTTTTGAGCACCCTTGTGTCACTGCTTCCTTGAGCCACTAACATTATTCTAAGGCTATAGTGTTGGAAAGGCATTACTGATAAAATTAGCAGCTTCATCAGCATGTTTTCCTCCATTGTGCCTGAAACTCCAGATGCCAAATAGTCCCCTATTTGTATAGGGAAGAGAGGATTGAGAGGGAATAAAGTGTGAGGTGAGAGTATGAGTACTGGTGTTGGCAAAGATAAGAGGCAAAATATCTGACAGTATTGCTATGCTGGAATAATGATCTGCAAAGGTTGTTAATTATTATGTTTCTTTAGCATCAATGTGATCTCTGCTGTTCCAAACTAGCAGAGTTACAAAACACAAATGGAAAATCCTCTTCAAAGTAACTTAATGTGACTTAATTGATCAACTGATCAATTGATCAATGACTTCATTCATCAATTAGGACATTGATCATAATGCTTATGATCAAATGACCTTATCCAGTTCAGAAGCACACAGGGCAGCATGGAGCAGAAATCTGCTCTTCCTATAGCAAGACGAAAGGGAGGATCAAGATTTAACTGTGAAATGGGAACAAAACAGGCTTTAGAGCCTTTCATCTCCTAAGGAGTTTGGTTCTGGTTTCAGTTTCAGTGTTCTAACTCAAAGAATAAATCCTAATTTATATTAGGTTGTTGAAAGAATTCTGAGAGCAGAAGTAGGAAGTAAGGACCCTAACCTCTTCGGCAGCCAGCCTACCTCCCTGTGCTCCATGGCACATTTGTCAGTAGTTACAGACTTAATGGGATATAGAGTAGAAACCAGCACAGTCTCCCTTCTGTCCCAGAGCTCCTGGTGGGCATGTAGTCAACACATGCTGCAGGCTGTAATTTCACTTTGAATGAAGAATTAGAGCCCAAGTTTACTCTTTCCTGGGTGATTCTGCAGCTGCTCACTCTCCACTCAAGAGGGACAGCATTACTACCTACAAATGTAACGTGAACACAGTGGTGTTGGTGTGTCCTAAGCATGGCTGGATGAGCCCTACAGCAGATTCATCCATGCCTATGTAGTTGGAGCTGTAGCACCTTCTGACACACCCAGAAGCTGGCACTGAGGAAGTCCTTTCCAGGAAACTGATGGTCAGGTCCTTGGGAAAGCAGGGACATGTGAATTCACAACCAGTATGAAAAGTACACACACTGGAACAGGTTGCCCAGGGAAGTTGTGGATGCCCCCTCCCTGGAGGTGTTCAAGGCCAGGTTGGACAGGGCTTTGAGCAACCTGGTCTGGTGGGAGGTGTCCCTGCCCAAGGCAGGGCGGTTGGACCAGATGATCTTTATGGTCCCTTCCAACCTAAATCATTCTATCATTCTGTGATTCTAAAAGCTGTACCTTACACTTTCACTTACTTTTAAAAACAGTTTCTTATTTTTAGTAAATTAGAAAATATTTTCTCTCTCTTAAAAATGTAATATATTGCTCTCACATAAACAAATTCCTTTTTAAAAAGATGTGGCTCTGCGGGAACCTATTGGTGCTTTGTTTCTACATTAAAAGAGTAATACTCCTATGTCAGTGACCTGTCAGTCAGCATGTCTGCTTTTGGGATATGTCCTAGAGAATTTTCAGTGACACTGGAATTAGCTAGGAATGAATCATTAGTGAGTTATAGATGGGACTGTGTGATGTTGCTCGTCTGTGACACACCTGTGTTTACACAGGTTTCTGTCCGCAGACCCCAAGTGCCAGCCCAGCTCTGGGCTTAGGAACGATTTCCACTCTCGGTACCTCTGAAACATTTCGAGGCAGGGAAATCAGGTGCGGAAGGGAGAGCAGCACCAGCTGCGCCTTGGAGGCTGCTTAGGGATGCTCGGCCCGGCCCGGCCGCCCGCCCGCCCCTCCGGGGGTAGCCGCCGGCTCCCCGCGGCGCGCCCGTCCCAGCTTTCGGTTTCACTTCTGCCGGCTCCGGGCAGCGTCTTTCGAAAACTGCATGGTTTTAGCGCGCTGAGAAACTTATGCGGTCTCTGGATGCCCCCAAACCGAAGGAGATAAAGTCCGCGGCGGTAAGTGGGTGCCGTTCTTCACTTCTTGGTAATAAAGGCGAATAGCAGAGGTGCAAAGCTAAAGTACTGCTCAGGAGCTGGGGCAATTTCCTTGATCTCGATTTCTCTTAACTTGCAAGTTAGCAAAGCCGGTGCCACTGCCGTTTGCTTAATGAGTGTGCTTTGGTGCTTGCGCTTGGATGTGGTGTCCCCAGCTGGCAGGAGGTATTTTTGTGTTATAAAAAAAGGAAAAGGCAATATAGGTGAAGTGGGAATGTCCCTCCCTGAGAGATGCTGGAGGCTTCTCTGCTAAATTCTCCAATTTTTTTAAAGTTCTTGCTCATAACATTAAAACTGTCATCCTTTCTTTTGTCTATTCAAAATCGTTCTGTAACACTGTCCCTTAAGTCTCATATCGGGTCTGTACTTTCTTCACTGGATCTTCAACCAAAGCATGAAACACCTAAAGCTGACTCCAATTTCCTGCAATGAAAAACAGAAAAAGGCAGCCCTTCAGGCCTCATTGGAAGTCAGCCAAAGCCGTTTGTGTTTGTGCAGTATGCTTCTTGTGTTTTTCAAACTTACAGATGAACTGAGGAGCCTGGCAGCTATCTGATTTCCTTAAAACAAACCCTTGGAAAGGTGCAGGTCAAAGGTAAAGTTCCAGACAAGCTCCCCTCTTTGTTTTCCTTAGCTCTTCCAGCAGCAGAGGTGCAGAGGAAGGGGGCAGGACAAGTGGTCCTTGATTTCCCTCAGCCACAGGGATACAGGTGCTGTGCTCAGCAGCTGTAGCAGATCAGGCTTCCCTCAGCACTGTCAGGTTCAGTTACTTCCCCTTCCCTGCTTGCCAGTGGCAGGTGAGTAGAGAGGCAGCCTGTGGGAACTGTGGGAGATGGGTCAGGCCTACATGCAGTGCCTACCAGGGATTTTTTTTTTTCATTAAAGTTTATTTAAAATCAACTTTATGCCTTTGCAATGCTTTAGGTCTCTTTCCTGTGCTTGTCTCCCCAGTCCCACTGGATTTTAATGATGTAAAAAAAATTGAAGCGGAGGAAGCTAAGCTTACTGTTCTTTGCTAAAGCATGGAAAAATAGTCTGGCAAGCACTGCTTAAGTATTTGTTCTCCCTCTACTAAAGATTAATTCAACAGAGAATAATATGGAAAATACACTGAACTCTTTTCTTGATGAGCAGAAATGCTGTTTAATTAGCCAAGCTCTATGACTCAGCAGGCTAGTCAAACACTTCTGAGCTCCTACAGCTCTATGCCAGTCAGAATTTGTGTGGAATTCCTTTTCTTCCTGATCCAGTAAAGCTGTATTACACCAGGTGAATTTAAATCTTATGAATACTAAATTGAAACTGAATAAAATATGAAGAAGTCTAAGATTCATCAGAAATGTATTCCAGAGTAGAGCACCAGTGGACAGAGCTTGATGTCCTAATGGAAATGCTCAAAACATATTGGGTGAGATATATAAATTTTTAAATTCGTAAGTTTTCCTAGAAGTATTTGGATAAATGTTTTGAATCCATGGGCAGTATTTTCTCTGCACCTTGGCTCATTTCCATTTCTTTCTCTTTTTAGGTTGGTACTGATTATTTTGTCTGCCCTTTCTCATACTCCTTTCTATAACCTGGTATTCCTTCTTTTGCTATGGGATGGAAAGATGTTTAGAATTTTGTGTGGCTGGCTTGTAAAATAAAAACTGGCAAGAACTGCAAAATAAAAAGTGCAAAATAAAGGATATAAAGTATTCCTACTGCATGTAACTATAAATATTTTAAGTGTGGTTAAGCTTAGAACATACTGGTTAACACTGAGGGGCCTGTGTATAAATATTTATCAGTGTGGTTAAGCTCAGAGTTCAGTGATTTGAGGGCCTGTGTATAATTTTTTTTTCATAATATATTATGAAATATATATAATAATTTTCATATTTATTGTATTTTGTGCATGTTAAAGCAATGCAAAATTAATTAGAAAAAAAATGGTGGGAAATTTGCATTGTAGCTTTTTGAACATACTTTGTGTAAGACAATATTCTTGTGTTTAAAGAAAAATCTTTATAGAGATTTAGACATACATTTTCTGCAGAAATGAATGCTACTTTATTGGCGAAAAATACTGAGTGCTTGCTCAGTATAAAACTACATTATTTTTGAGCCTAACCTTCAGTTTAAGATATAAGTTATGTCAAAATGATTGTAATTTGTCTGTGTTCATTTTTGCCTTTGCAGATAAAATGATGGGAAATGCTATTCTTTGGTGGAGCAGCTTATCTGTCAGACTAGTGTCTGTCTGCTTGCTGTGCACATCAGTTGGAAAGCAATGTCAGATCCGAAATGAAATGGCTGACTGCAGTCACCTAAAGCTGACTCAAATACCTTCTGATCTCCCAAGCAATATAATGGGTTTGGACATTTCTCATAATCAGCTAAAACAGCTAGGTCCTGCAAATCTGACCAAGTACAGCCAGCTGGTTTACTTGAATGCAGGCTACAACATCATCTCTAAACTGCAACCAGACCTGTGTCAAAATGTGCCTCTGTTGCAGATTCTGAGGTTAGAACATAACGAATTGTATAAGCTCCCTGAAAGAGTCTTTGCTTCCTGCACCAACCTGACCGTGCTCAATCTAGGATACAACAGAATAGACATAAAAAATGAGCCTTTCAAAACCCTGGAGGTAAGCTTTAGAAATGCATCTTTTCATGTAAATTAAGTATAAATGGCGAATTGAAGGTATTTTCCAGTGTGTGTACAGAACAGCTGCCTATTCGCATCTGAAAATACCCAGCATAGCATATAATCTTCCTTTATTGCTTTTCTAAAGAAAAAGGGCTTAGTGGCTTCTTGGGCACACTGGAGTCTCAGACGTCCTTGTGAGTCGATGCTCTCCATCCCCTTTTGCCTACTACATCCCAACCATCCAAGATTTATGCTGAGATAATAGTATCAGCAGATGATGTATAGGGCAAGTTGTGGAATTTGAGTTGCTTGGGTTCTAAAAATGGTCGCTAGCCTAAATTCTCAAGGTCGAGGTGTAATTACTCAGATCATGAAGGCCAGTGCTTAGGCTGAATGTAGCGTCTCCCAGGACTTTGGCAAACGAGACCAATAGCTTTCTTTTTTCTGGTAGTTTACATGTGGTTAAGTATTCTTCTCTGCAACATCTATGAGGTTGGGGGACCAGCACAGGAGGCAGGAAAAGACTATTCCATGGTCTTTGCACCAAGCAAGGAATCATGTAAAAGGAAAGGCCTAAGGACAAAAGAAAATAGAGACAATGTGTGGATACTAATTGTTGTACATTGTTCTAATATGCGTGCATGTTGTTTTGAACAAGTCTTTCCTGCTAAACTCAGTATTCCAGTTCAGTTACACAAAATGTACTTACATCACAGGACTGCTGACTCTCAGCTGAGTACAAATGGGTACAGCCAGCTTCAGTGCTGGGAACAGAACTGAAGTTCTGGCTTTCCTTGTTTTGCTGCTGCCCTCTTACTGATGGAGGACAGGCTTGAGGCACCTCAAGGCATGTTCTGTGGAGTCACCTTTAGGGTAGCATCTCCTCCCATGCAGGAGGAGTCTGAGCACCTGGGCATAAGCTGGACTTTTACAAGGTATATAGCACTGATCATTTTAGGTTGCTGCTGCGCTCCCCTTCCTCATTTCCATTCATGAGTGGACTACAGCAAAGAGGGTGGACTGCAAGGTTTAATACTGCAGTAGCTGTAACTGCAGTCAGCTGTAGGCATTTGCTTTTATCACTTTATGTGGAGCAGGAGCACTTTCAGTTAATTAAGGAATTTAGATAAAGTAATTCTTTAGTTTGCAGTAGGTAATTTAGCAGGTTAAGATAATAAGCACAATGAGAGTTACAGATGTGGAAGATACAGGTGGCTTCTTCCTGCAGAAGCTTGAAAGATGCCATTTCTCTATTAGAAATTTATTTTAATTGTTGTATTGCAACTAATTTCTAATCAATTGGTCTCTAATGCAGTATTTCAAAATGGTCTTGTGTTATATAAAATAAAAAGAATTTCATACTTTTCTGTTTGCATCCTCTCCCTAGAACTTGAATATTTTGGACCTATCTCATAATTTTTTGAAGTCAGCAAATTTAGGATTGCAGCAACAGTTGAACAACCTTCGTGAACTTATGTTGGATAAAAATCAAATCACTGAGCTAAAAAGGGAAGACTTCAGTTTTCTTAGCAACACCTCATTGAATAGTCTTGATTTGTCATCAAATCCACTGAAAGAGGTAGGCATTTCAACAGAAATTCTACAGGTGTAATTATAAAATGGAACTATCCTGATTTATCCTTTATGATTGTATGGCATTTATATTACATTCTTGATCCGAACCACTAAGGTCAAAGATAAAACTATTCTGTTGTAGGCAGCGTTACTCCTGACCTCCAGTAGTGATGCACATAATTATTTTTCTCCCACTGAAATCAGTAAGAACTGGTTCCATGTAGATCAGAGGTCTCAAGCAAGAGCTAGATCAAGTATCTCTGTGAATTCTTACTGGGTATTTTCTACGCAGGTTTTGTTGGGGTTTTTTTTGTACGTGCTGAAGATGAACAACTGATATTAAGCTGGGAAAAAGTGCGGTATTATGCAAGGCTAGTTATACAATGTAGGTCTCACTTCCTAGTTAATTAAAGAGAATGTTCATTAGTGCCTGTGGGGTACCACAGAGAAATAATCACTGCAGAAAAGTATACTCACTCTTAAAAACCCAAGTGGGTGTTTTCTCTGCCACCTACCTCACTGTTCTCTCTGACCTGCGTCTCAGTGTTACAGTGTGATTCTTTGAAGAGTGATGGTAAGTGTTGCAGTTCTAAACTGGTTTACCCTCAGCATATGAATACTGAATTTGTGTTGCATTTGCTTGGGTTTTTTCCCCCCACCTAACTGATCTGTAAAGAACATGTATTTTGAAACTACAAGAATATTTTAAAGTGGCATAAGCTTGTATCACTGCTGAGAGGCAATCATAGAATCATAGAATGGTTTGGAAGAGACTTTAAACATCATCTAGTTCCAAACTCCTTGCAACGGCCAAGGACACTTTCCACTAGACCAGGTTCCTCAAACCCTCATCCAACCTGGCCTTGAACACTTCCAGGCAGGGGGCATCCACAACTTCTCTAGGCAACCTGTTCCAGTGTCTCACCACCCTCACAGTGAAGAATTTCTTTCTAATGCCTAATCTAAATCTACCCTTGTTTATTTTAAAATTGTTACCTCTTGTCCTATCACTACACTTCTTGATAAAGAGTCCCTCCCCATCTTTTCTGTAGGCCCCCTTTAAGTATTGGAAGGCTGTTATAAAGTGTCCCCAGAGCCTCCTCTTCCCCCCAGCTCTCTTAGCCTTAGTCTTCATAGAAGAGGTGCTTCAGTCCCCTGATCATCATCATCTTCATGGTCCTTCTCTGGACCCACTCCAACAGGTCCATGTCCTTCTTATTTTGGGGGCCCCAGAGCTGAATGCAGTACTCCAGGTGGGGTCTCATGAGAAAGAAGTAGAGGGGCAGAATTGCCTCCCTCAACCTGCTGGCCATGCTTCTTTTGAAGCAGCCCAGAATATGGTTGGCTTTCTGAGCTGCAAGTGCACATTGCCAGCTCATGTTGAGCTCCTCATCAGGCAGCACACCCAAGTCCTTCTCCTTAGGGCTGCTCTCAATCCATTCTCTGCCCAGCCTGTATTTGTGCTTGGGATTGCCCCAACCCAAGTGCGGGACCTTGCGCTTGGCCTTTTTGAACTTAATGAGGTTTGCATGGGCCTGCCTCTTTCAAGCCTGTCCAGGTCCCTCTGGATGGCATCCCTTCCCTCACACAGCCTCCTCCTCCCCCTCCACACAGCCTCACACAGCCTCCCCCTCCAACCACATCACACAGCTTGGTGTCGCTCGCAAACTTGCTGAGACTGCACTCGATTCCACTGTCCATGTTATCAACAAAGATGTTAAACTGTGCTGGTTCCAGTACCAACCCCTGAGGAGTGTCACTTGCCACTGGTCTCAGTGGACCACCGTACTGTTGATCACAGCTCTTTGAGTGCAACCATCCAGCCAATTCCTTATCCACTGAGTGCTCCATCTGTCAAATCCATGTCTCTCCAATTTAGAGACAAGAATGTCATGTGGGACAGTGTCAAATGCTTTGCACAAGTCCAGGCAGATGATGTGAGTCACTCTTCCCTTATCCATCAATGTTGTAACCCTGTTGTAGAAGGCAAGCATGATTTATATTTGTCAAGCACGATTTGTCCGTAGTGAAGCCATCCTGGCTGTCATCAATCACTTTCTTATTTGCCACATGCCTTGGCATAGTTTCCAGGTGACTCTGCTGTCTGATCTTGCCGGAGTTTGGCTTGGTTACCTTGTAGTTAGGCTGGTTCCCTATCTGGTTCACCATACGACTGCACATATGGCCATATTGGCACAGGGGTATAGCGTGCAGATAAGAAGATAGGACTGCTCTTTTCTTGGGCAGTGCTACTTTATGCTAGCTTAACCTGCTTTGACTTTACAGTACCGCTGTCTGAAGAGCAGCCTTACGCATTTCAATCATTCTGACAAATGGAGTATTTATTCAGCTGATATCTGAATCAAGACGAGGGGCCAGCACTATGATGGAGGCTTGTGATTTATATTGAGAAAGCAAATGTGTAATATTGCATTTCATGATTGTAGTTTCTGCTCACACAGAGAAACTGAGTTTCTTCTTGGCTTTCTGAAGGCTGTAATAAATTTTTATTACAGTATATCTGGTTTTGCACTAATATATTGGTATCCGTAGCAGATACCAATAAAAGAAAGCTGAATAAAGAGATCATCTCAATTTCTAAGATGCTTCTAGTGAAAGAGTTTTACTAGCTTGATACAAAATCATAATTAACTTGTGTCTCACTAACAAATTTCTATCTTCTTCTAAAAGATTACTACTCAGAATTATGATAATCATGCTACAAATTTTGGAACTATTATAATAACTATAAACTTCAAGAAGTATTTGTCTGAACTTATCTTTAGAAAAATCTGAATATTCTACTTGAAAAATTTCATTTGAAAACCTTTCCGAATTTTGGCTTTAGGGGGCTACTTTCTTACATAATTTCCTTGTTTAGGTCAAAACTCTATTTTTCTTTTTCTTTCAGTTTCACATAGGATGTTTACATGCAATTGGAAATCTGTTTGGCCTCATACTAAATGATGTGGACCTTCATGAAAACGGTTCAAAAAAACTTTGTACAGAATTATCAAACACAGCGATTCAGAACCTCTCACTCAGCCATGTGAAGCTTTCATCCATTGGCAAGTCAACTTTCCAGGGACTGCAAGAAACGAATCTCACAGTTTTAAACCTTTCCCAAAATTCTCTGTCTGTGATAGAAGATGACTCATTTCAGTGGCTTTCAAGTTTACAATACTTAAACCTAGAGCATAATAACATTCACTTATCTTCACGTTTATTTTATGGATTATCCAGCCTCAAACATCTGAATCTGATAAGTTCACTTACTGGGAAAATAGAAGATTTTTCCTTTCATTGGTTATACCACCTGGAGTACCTGATAATGGATAATAATAATTTTGCAAGAATTACCACTAATACGTTCACAGGTCTGAACAACCTGAAATACCTCAGTCTCTGTAACTGCAACATCAACTTACAAAGAATAACTAATAAAACATTTTTGTCACTTGCTAATTCCAGTTTGCAGGTTCTCAACCTCACAAAAACAAGAATCTCTACAATAGAAAGTGGGGCATTTGCCTTCTTGGGACACCTGAAAATTCTTGATCTTGGTCTCAACGAAATTAGACAAGAGCTTACAGGTCATGAGTTTAAAGGTCTCAATAATATACAAGATATTTATCTTTCCTATAATAAAAACCTGTCTTTGCGAAGTGAATCATTCATTTTTGTTCCAAGCCTTAGAAAACTGATGCTGAGGAAAGTAGGCTGCAATAATCTGGCAATTTCTCCTTCACCTTTTCATCCTCTACAAAATCTGACTGTCCTAGACATCAGTAATAACAACATAGCAAACTTAAAAGAAGATGTGTTTGATGGACTTCACAGACTTGTAATTCTGGATTTGCAGCACAATAATTTAGCCCGACTTTGGAAACAAGCAAATCCAGGTGGCCCTGTTCTTTTTTTAAAAGTTCTTCCCAACTTGTGTATTCTTAATTTAAAATCAAATGGGCTTGATGAGATTCCAGTTCAGGTTTTCAAGGGTCTGCTTCAACTAAAAAGCTTGGATTTAGGGTCAAATAATTTGAATTTGCTTCCAGCAACTCTGTTTGATGGCCAAGCTTCTCTGAATTCATTGAACCTTCAGAAAAATCTGATAACCTCTGTTGAAGAAAAAGTGTTTGGCCCAGCTTTCAAGAGCTTGAGAATACTAGAAATGGATTCCAATCCATTTGATTGCACCTGTGAAAGCATTGCCTGGTTTGCCGATTGGCTTAATGTGACCCAAGCATATATACCTGGGTTGAGGTCCCAGTATATTTGCAACACCCCACCTAAATATCATGGTAGTCTGGTGTTGCATTTTGATAGCTCAGCCTGCAAAGACAGCGCTCCCTTTAAACTTCTGTTTGTGATCACTACCACTACTGTGATGCTAGTAATTTTTATTGTTCTTACCATCCATTTTGAAGGGTGGAGAATAGCTTTCTACTGGAATATTTCAGTAAATCGAGTACTTGGTTTTAAAGAACTTGACAGACAACAGGAAAGGTTTGATTTTGATGCCTATGTTATTCATGCGAGAGAGGACAAGGATTGGGTGTCTGAGAATTTCATCTCTCTGGAAAAAAAGAAGCACTTTAATTTTTGTTTAGAAGAACGGGACTTTGAAGCAGGCATATCTGAATTTGAAGCCACAATTAACAGTATAAGAACGAGCAGGAAGACTATTTTTGTTGTGACTGAACATCTCTTACAGGATCCCTGGTGCAAGAAGTGAGTAGGATATAAAATTTTATATGTAAAGGGGAAAAATTCTTAACAGATTTTTTTTTAACAAGGTCATACTTTTTGCTGTGTAATTTAATAAAAAATACAGTTTATTAACAAATGCCATGCAAATGCTACTTTAATATAGTTACTTAATATATTGTTATGTCAGAGTAGTTCCTAAGTTAATAAATTTAATTGCTCCCATGTAAACTATTGGAAATTCGAATCTTTCAGTCAATATTTTTTTTTTCAAAAAGCTAAGCTGTAAGCTGTGCAGATTGCTGTCCTTAAAATTACACATTTGAAAAAGAGCAATAATGGGTGAGATCACTAGCATCCAAAGATGATTTTTATTTGTCTTTAAACGAGTCTCTTCACCTCTCTTACGTAGCAATATTGAAAAGAAAGGAACTTTGCTAAACAAGAATATATCAAGACGGTAGACTTAGGTTACATTTTTCTTTAGTTAGAAGATAACTTATTTAACATAAGTAATGACAATATTGTATCATAAAATAGAAATTAAGACCCCCTGTTTGAGTCTAGACCTTGAGTTTACAATATGCTACTATATGAGCTATTAAAATAACTGTTTGCCTTTTTTGCTCTTTATATGGAAGAAAACATGTATTTTTTGTTTTATTTTTGCTTCAGATTTAAGGTGTATCATGCTCTTCAGCAAGCTATTGAACAAAGTCGAGACTCCATCATACTGATCTTTCTTCATGATATCCAAGATTACAAGTTGTATCATGCACTTCGCCTGAGAAGAGGAATGTTCAGATCTCGCTGCATCTTGAACTGGCCAGCCCAGGAAGAACGAGTCAGTGCATTTCATCAGCAATTGATGATGGCACTTAAATCTAATAGTAAAGCACAGTGAATTTTGAAAGTACAGATTTGAATTATGGAGTCATTTTATTGTGTACTTTCTGTCATTGGAAAACTATGAAGCCTTCAGGAAAATCTGAAAAAAGTTTGTCGTGCTGGAAAGATACATAAGAGTCCCTATAATTCAAATTTACTTGTCTGTATTCATGTTCTTGCTGATGTTTTCATTCACCTGCACTGCAGTGACATGTTAAAATGGATCATGATTGATGGTCATTTCAGTCTGTGTATCAAAAATGTGGTAGAAATTCTGAAAGGCAGTGAGAATCACCGATATCCTAGGAAAAATGCCCATCTGTTGTAGTGCAGAAAAGACATAGGCTCTTTACTTTAAAGGGATATATGTCAAAAAGAATGTGATAAAATAGCAAATTCTGTGCAGAAGGTAGAGTGGATGCTACTGCTTGTTTTCATAACACAAGGGGAGATTCAGTGAAATTAAAATTGGAAAGCTTTCCAGGTGAAATACACTAAGTAACATGAAAAATTAGTTCTGTAGTTGAAACCAAGAAACAGCAGAGTTGCAAAGTAACTTTTAAAACCTTTTATTTTAAGAGAAAGCCACAGACAGAAACTTGACCCTGTGAGCAGCCTGTTCAGAACACGCAGCAAAGACAGAATTGCTTATGCCTGCTGGGTGAGGCTAGCGCTGGTGAGGATCAAAACCAGTTTTTCAGAGTAATGAGTCAATGGATTTCATCAGTGTCGTATGATTAAAAAATAGCTTACTGTTCCCTATGGAAATTCAGAGAGCTGGCAGAAGGGCATTTATACTGAGAGATGTCACCTTAATTCTTTGAAAACACATAAAACCGTATGTAAATCAATGTGAAACATGGCCAAGGCACAGCTGGTGCCCCTGTATAAAGTAAGTAAAGGTACTTAACCAGAAGAAAACATTGGGGGAAAGGTGGTGCTACTGTAATTTCATTACCGAAATCTTTGTTACTGCTGAAACAACAACAACAAAAAATCTCCCAAAAGAAATAGTTATAAACCATATCAGAAATATTACTGTGCCTGTATTTACAGGTAGAGTGAAAGAAAAACTTCAAAAGTAGATTCATGTCAAAACTTTTGTTTTCTTCTTCTTCATGTCTGTATATAGTTTTGCCTTTGATAGCTAAAAAGAAAATTGTGAAGAAATCAGAATTCTATAGTTGAATTTCTTGTATATTAACCTAATTTGTTTTTCCTTAACGTACTACATGGAAACATGGGCTAGTTGGCAATTGCCAGAGCATTAAGGTTCAAACATACGGGCTAGTAGCTTTATCTGGGGGGAGCTGAGAACCAGCGAAGTGTGCTCTGAAGGGATGTTCATAATGCTGGAGACTGGTTGCAATTTTATGGAGTGTCTGAGCACAATTTATTGTAAATTAGGCACTAGACAGTCATTGGTATGTTTCTGTTAATATTTAATTGCTGCTCCAAGGATCTAATAAAACATTGTCATTTTTCAGTAGGTGTGTGATCCTTCAATAGTTCAGGGATATTTTTACATTGCTTTTTTCTAGCATTTTCCTTATCGATTTCAATACCACCATTACTCTAAGAATGCTGTTTTCTGCTTCAGAAAACAGCTTTCAGATAGTGCAATACTTAACATTTTAAGCAGCTTTTCTCATGATTTGTTATATGCATAGAAGAAAAACGTTGGTTTTTAATAGGCTTGTCTGTCCCACGATGGTAAAAAATATAAATGAAAAAAATAATAAAATAGATTTTGCATGCAAGAGAAGAGCGAAGAGGGTGTAGACTGACTGCACTTGCTCAGGAAGTCCCGAGTGAAAACAAAAAAGGCTTTGTTTACAGTTGAAGTGATAGTTGATGATTCCCTAATTACAGTAATAGGATTATCCCCATTGTGATGCTTTCATCTCATCTTCCTGACCTTTTCAGGCGAAGTGACAAATTCTTTCTTTATGCTTAGGCCATGAAAGTTGAGGAGACAAGTCGGATGGGGTGCCAGGTATGCACCATGTTAATTGCTCTTTCTCTTACTTAAAGACTAACATGTGAAAGGGTTCCTACGTTTCCTAAATCTGTAATGACACGTAGTAGCAGAGTTTCTTATTCCACATCAATGTAAATTGTTTAGGAAATGTCAGCAGTTCTCATGGATATTAAAAATGACATAAAGATGCAGAGAATGCATGGAGAAATGCCAAGGTGAAATGTGATGGTACAAGAGGTCAGAGTAGATGATCAAATGGTCTTTTTTGGCCCTTAAACCCTGACAAATGACAGTGTGTCTAAATTCTTTAAAGATTTTTCTCGTTACTACAAATGCCCCCAAAATTGGTCTCAGAACCCTGAGAAAATGTGCTATGGATGCTTAGTTTTGTAAAATACCTAAGAATACAAACTAAAAGTACTTGCTGATGAATGAAAATAATTTTAAATTATAAAAATATGATGATGCATTCTAAGCAGTTATTTTAGTACCTATGGTCAGTTAAAATAATTTACAACAGAAAAAGACATTATAAAGGCTCACGGTGAGAATTAAACTAATGTTAAAAACAAAGGCCCAAAACCAGTAAGCACAGTGCCGATGGTAATCATCAATTATACTTCACATATAAAGTTCATATAAATTTACCTTGTTTGTCTGAAAGTCACTTACTTCCGCTCTGCTCCTGTACATTTGTTTGCCAATATTATTGAGAGTAAATAAAGGGGTGAATACTTGTAAGTGCTTTCAGGATTGACAGTCTATATCTGAGCTGGGTAGTTTCTTAGCAGTGGGCAGCATTACGCTGATTTGCTGAGGAGCTGGATACCAAATAAATGAAAAATAGTTCCAAACTTGTCATGTCAAAGATACTACCTAGGACTAAAGAGGAATCATCAGTATTGAAAGTAGAATATCTAAAGGGCTTGAACAAGACAGAACACACAAGTCTGCAGATCTGTGGTAGAAGCTGTTTCTGTGGCCCTTGAATGACGAGCAATGAACAAATTACAGACCGTGATGTTCATAACAGGTTATATTCCAGAACTTCATGCAGGGTTGCTTTGGGGATGCAGCTGAGATCAATATACAACACATCAACATGCTCAATTATGCTACTTTTCCTGTGGCCCAGTCAAGGCTTTTTGGCATCGCAGGGAATAAATGTGTTGCTGTTAGGTTCACACGGGCCCATTCCATAAGGTTTGGTCAGAACATACTGTGGCAGATGCACCCACCCTACTAAAGACCTGAGAAAGACCCAATACAAAGCAGTGCTAAAGTTTCTGGCCCTGGCGGTGCCAGAACTGCCTCCTCCCTCACAGCTCGTGTCTGGTCCACACAGTGGGGGTCAAACGCAGGAATGTTGGGGTCCTCAGCCAATAGGGGGCTGACACGACCATATATTGACCACAGATCAGATTCGACCAGGGTATAAACGGGGCCCTGTCAGAGGACTCATTTGAGTCGGTCCTCCTTGGAGCAGCGGGTCTGCAGTCAGGGACTCTCCCCTTGAGTTGGGACGCCACTTAAGGTAACTTCTCGAGATTGAGAGCCCTCCCTTTTTGGTGAGTGAATGCACATTTTAGATTGTTTGGCCAAAACTTAAGAATTCTTAACTCAGCTGTGTCTGGTAATATTCTCAACCAGCATATCAAACCTGTATTTGTTAAATGTCAGTGGGATGTTGTTTTGGTGAATTAAGTTTTGTCTGCTTCATTTCAGTTGCAGCTTAAAGCTTGTTTGAGTTCATTATTTGTGTGCGTGTAGCCATTTTGGTGCGATTCCGTGACACATACTTAATTCAGTTTGTAAGAAAAAAATGCCAAGAATATCCCAGCTTCAGATCTCAGTACTGTACGTGGTGTTGTGTGTGCTCTGCTCTGCCAGCTCATTGCACTCCTTGATGTGGTAAGAGGACAAAGCAGGGATAAAATTCCTCACTTGGTATGCTCAGTTGTCATCTGCCAGCAGCTGCCAGATTTAAGTTGATAGTACAACTAGATACTTCATGTATAACGGACCTCTACTGTCTCTTTTGCATGCTACCCAGAGCTGCGCCACCTGCCATATTCTGAGCTGACACCATTTTTGCCCTATCCATAATACCAGCCATTAGAGTCCCCAACTGGCTGCTGGCATCACCATCCAGCCAGCCAGCCCTATGTTGCAAAGTTAGAGCAGTATTTGCCCCAGCCCCGACTCGTGTGTCTCCAGCTTCCTGGTATTTGTAGCAAAAAAGGTTTTTGATACCGACACCCTCACTGCTTTCCAAGCTGCCTGGGATTGTTGGTAGCATCTTTGTACGTGCACTGTGACCTTGGCAGATGGACTTGGTCTCTGTCTCTTAATATTGAGATTTTAATTAAAAGGAAAATACCACGCTGTATTTCCTTCACTCTGTCTGCACCAAGTTATTCCCACACGCCTCGAAGGTGCGCAGGCCTGCTAGCAGCTCGCAGGCCCAGTGCGGCCCGCCGAGGGCGGTGCGTACCGCGGCGGGGTTTGTTTAGCCTGGCAACGCCGGCGGGCCGCCCCGGCCGGGAGAGCCGCCGGCCAGCGCCCGGGCTTGTGGGGGGGGGAAGGGGCTTTAGCCACGCCGCCATGAAGGTGGCGGCGCTGGAGCTGAGCGCCCTACTCGCCAAACTACGCCGTGCCCCGCTGCCTCCAAGCCCACGACGCCCC